TCGCGTACTCCCCACACGGACGGGATGACATCTGACGTCCCATCACCTTCTACCATCACCACCAACACTCCCACCTCCAGCGATGTAGACTCGATTGATATCTATCCCCATCGAGATCGCACATTCACCTCACACATCGGCCAGGTTGGTTACTCGCGAATCCATTGCATGGAGCTTGTCGAACCAGTGCCTGGAACACCAAACTACACCCACCGCATCCGCCTTAATTGGCCTCAATGTCCCCGTACACTCAATTACCGTGTGGACTCATTAGGTCACATGCGCATTCACGTGAACCTGCGGTAGACAACCGCCGGCTACACCAAACATCCCCCATCAACAACCGCATCACACAACAATATCGTCACTGCAAGCACTCGATTGCCACATCCCACACAAGTTGGGAGTGTGATTCTCGGCTCCTCTGCTGCATGCATGATCCAAGTCTGAGACTATCACGGTGCGCAAAGCGCGTGGCTGGGAAGGCGGCCGACTTACGCTTCAACTAAGTCCACGCAATCTGCCCAGTGGTGTGTGTTTGTTTGGAGTGGCGGACTGATGGGCTGATTTAAGGCTGTCACGGCTTCTTCTTAAAGTGATCTGTGACACTCTCACGCATGTGAGTAGTGCGTGTTACTTAATGAGTAGTGCCTTTCAGTCACTGACTGACCGGTTGCTCAGTTTTTAAAGGGTTACTGCCCAGACAAATTCAGGGCTATGTTGCTTTTTGATTACTCAGAAAGTAACTGCGTGTGGGTCACCCTTCTGGCCCCCCAAGGTTTGTGAGCGTCTGCTATGCCATGATCAGCAAACCATGGCCCTTGCAGACTGGTATCCACTGGCAGTCCCCGACACTTGGTTCTCTGGTGGTAGACGCGATTGCACTCCCGCTGGGTATCCAGGTCGTGTGTATGGTTGTAAAGTCATTCACGTCCTTTCTGTTGTTTTTGGTCAAAATCTTGGTCAAGTGTTTGTTGTGGACCAGGGAGTGTGGAGTGGAGCGCCAAGGTGTAAGTTCGGCTGCGCCTTCCACCTGCACCCCCCCGCCCCCGACCTTTTGACTCTGTCTTGACATCCGGTCCAGGTAGGGAGAAGGAGAGCGTGTTGTGGATGTGCGCAAGTCTACTCCCACTACAATGTAATCCACGCGCAGGTCGCGGTGCCTGTTCTCACCTTGCTGTGCACCCCACGATGGAAATCGTCGGGTGTGACGGTCTAACTACCATATGTAGATACCAGACCATTGCAAAAGGCTTGTTCGGTTGTCATAAACAAAGCCACTGAGACGATAACGGACTAGTTCAAGGAGGGACCTGCGCAAAACACAACATCCTCCTTACCGACGTTACTTTTGGACTTTCCAGTCACAAGAAAATCACACTGGTGTATCCTTAGTCTTGTTAACGATGGCTGCTGACTGCATGCTCAAAGCGACGTGATCGCTATGATGCTTTCATAACAAAATGGGAGGAGCCACCACACGGACTGTTTTAAAGTATAACGACAATAATGACGTCAGTCAGCCGTGGCGGAACTAACCGAACGCACGCGAGTACTTTTCAATAAAAAAGAACATGTCGACCAAGCGTGAAGCTTGGAGGACGGAAACGTTAGCAATAGAGGGCAGAGATTGAAGGAACATTTCACGCCACCACCGATAGCCCTCGGACAAGGGCTGGTTCGGTGGAAACGACGCTGAAATACAACAACCGATCTCCAAGAACAACCAACTCCAGAAGGTGTACATTAACCGCAAAACAGCTCAAAAAAGTCGCATTCTCCCACTGTTATTGCCAACTGCAGCGAAGATTGTGGGAGATACCAAATAACTGACTAAGAAAACAAAGGACTGTTTTGTCCTCAGGTCATCGTAACTGCGCCGTAAGTCAGCGCAGGTGTAGGACAATTCTTGAATCTCGCATGATTGGGTCAAGCACTTCCGATCCACTCACAACCCCCAAGCTACGATCCGTGAGGAAACCAAGAGCAGACCTTTTAAAATCGGAACCAACGTTGACCACAATCATCCGCCATACTTGCAGGAAGACAATCAGAACAGTGCCCGAAAAGGCACAGGGTGCTGAATCAGTCAAAATATACAAATACGGTGGCTCTCACTTTTGCAGGCGATGCGGCTAATGAGACGAATTTCACAGGATTTCAGGAAGGCATCTATCGTTCAAATAAAAGTGAATTCGGCAAATTTATGGCAGTCGCCGATCATCTACCTTCTCAATATTGCTGATAAAATCTTCGCCCGAGTACTTTTAATCGACTGGATCTATACTCGGTGAAAGGACCCTTAGTGTCGTTCTGCTCGACGCAGCGACAGCGACCGAGCCGGTGTGCCAGTTGACTGCTTGCTGCGCGCGTGACTCAAACCCTGGTTTGTCGATACCACAATGCCAATTGACATTTTTGCCTTTTACAATTGGCCGCAGCCGGATAAGGTTCAGGCGCACACACGCATCCCGCGTCGTGATTTGTCTGAACAAATGCTGCCACCGTCTTCTGAGTCGCTTTTACTCTCTCGAGGACGCTTAATGTTGCCCATCCAACTGTCACCCTGATTTTTGATGTGGAGAACGTCTTGCTGTTGACCCATTGGACTTTTAAACCTTTTTCAGAGCGTCAACACAGAAACGCTGAAAAATCACGTAATCATTAGTAAGGTTCACGGATCTTGGCAGCTGTAGAAAGTATCAAGGAATGAGGATTGGTTTCTTGGCCATTTCTGAGGATATCACTAAAGCCTTGGACAACAGTGGCCTCGCAGGAGTAAAGCCGTGCTCTTACTTGCACAACACCGTTTCACGACGACGAAGTTGCAGCCGGGATTCTTAATGTCAATCAGGGCCTTGGTAGACTACAGCGCCCAGTCTGGGATCTTCCTGTCAGCCTCCCTCATACAAACCCAACATGTACAGGACCGTCATTCTGACAACCCCATAGGTTGTGTGGGGACGTTTATAATCCACCAAAGTCAGGCGTTAAAGGTCAGCGATTTCGGCTTAAGTTGTTTTCGACGGATATTGAAGGCGGACTGGCGGCAAAAGATGGTTAACAGAGAAATATAGATAACCTTCTGAGGGAAGACGATTATACGCCTCCCACTCGTCCGTTATCACTATACTGCTTTGGCGACCCATTTTGTAATAACGGAACGGAGAGTGGGCCAACTTCGATCATTCACCTGTTCAAATAAGGCTTTCCGTCGGCTAGTATCGTAAATTCCGGCCAGCCACCACCCATAAAATCCCTATTACCACCTGTCCCGTAAGACAGGCTGCTTTGGTTAGGCGGATTTTTTTGGGTGCCATCTCCCGATGGTTACCTTTACATTAAACGAGATCCACATGCGGCGGGAACCAGGCCGTGTGTGGTCCGAGCAGATGGGCTATTTTACTTTGTCAGCAACTGTTCCGGACAGACCGCAGGCGTATAGGAAGTGGCAGGAAGTATGAGGAGGATGGAGTGGAATGGATTTCCACGGGAAATAAGTGCATTCGTTACCACGACAAAATTTACATCCTCCAATTTGTTACGTATCACAAGTCATGCCTTGGAGAGTTGCTAACTGCCGTGGTAACTTGACCTTTCTGAGGGCTATTGGCCGGGCTGAAATGGCTCCTATCCAACACAAATTTTTTGGCGTACTCCTTTAGGCTACTTACGGAATTAGCCGAACGGAGACTGGTACGTGTGGATTTGGTGATCAGGTGGAATGTAGCGTGTTTAGGTGGGCTGTTGAGCTTTTTCAGTCACTGCGCCTAAGATGGATGCAGTGCATGTATGCTTCGCCAAAAACAACTTTACGCACAAGTCACTGCTGTGTTTAACTCTAAGGGGGACAGTGGACCACATAGAGCGCGACGGTTAAACCATCGGTCAGGAGAGGTTGGCGCGAGTGCCACTTCCATGTGGCCGAGTATTTCCACTTGCAAGCGACAGGGCCACGAGGACATGCGAGGACGCTAGAGCGTTTGACTTAATGCTGACTGACAGACTGCCCTAGTTTGAATCCTGAATCTTCCTGGGCTGGGGTTGATGAAGGTTCAACCAACGAGGCAAATGGACTAGAAAAAGCTACTACATTCTAAAGTTCTTTGACAGTCCGCATTTCAAGCACTTACCTGATTTCCTTTTTTCAGCCAGGCTGCTTCGAAGCTTCTTGAAGCGTGGTAGTTTGAAGGACGCGAGTTTTTCGTAAATTTTCACTACAGCATCATTCACACTAGACGACAGTAATATCAAGGCGACAAAAATAAAAGCTAGGAGAAAAACCCCAGTGGCAGCGGTATATACTTTCCTCGGAGAATGCCGTTCTTCCGCGACTGTGCTGACCTCCTCGACATCCATGGTAAACGACCTGTAACAGGGGTCTTCGGGGTACCATTTCGGTCGACCATTTATCTCCTGGCATTCCAAATGGCCCACACCAAATGGACATTTTGCCAGACATCCAACCGGGTAGTAAATAAGGCCGTCCTCTGTTACGAGATGACAGCGG